ATACTCGAGCGCGTCAGATATTGATAGCATCAATGTCCTACGTATTTTTAATAATGTTGNAAAACACACCAAGAAAAATACTCACTACTATACCAAAGATACACGGATCCATTATAGTTTTGAGCCAGGGGATCTGAAAAGGATCAAATTCAAACTGCGAGTACAATGATTTTCACAAATAAAAATATTTCATTTCGATCACAACAATTCATACATACAAACATACATACCTGAAAATCTACTGTATTGTCTTATTTCATATTTTGTTTGATACTCAATTATTAATTTTGGTAGTCAATAAATTATGTATGTCTATCGCTGTCGACACATTCAAAGTCAGCAATAATCGTTTTGAACCTTCATTCAAAAAAATAACTGTTCAGTATTTCAAATGAGAATATGTGGATGAAATTATAGAAGAAAATAGAACTTATAGAAGAAAAAACTCATCTCTTTCAGTTCTGAAAAACGACGGTGTTATTCGCCATGACCATTTTTCACACTCCCTTTCATGAGAGGTCGTTGTACACAAACTTGGTAACTCGAAGCTCATATTTAACGTCCAAACAAATCCACTTTCGAGCCATTAACATGTTTGTTCGAACCAGAGGCCAATTCTCCTCGCACGTCTCCGCAGTTCTAATTACTTTACTATTATCTGATGCGTTAATTTGTTTGATTTTTTAGCACCACAATGATAGCGGGTGCAGTGAAAGCTGCTTAATGCCTACTCACTAATTACGACTCATTTGATCTTAATTGTCAACGGAAAGAGGTTAGCCGATATGGTTTGCATACCAAATTCGAGTCGTGATACTCTCTTCCACTTTTGATTTGAGAAGTGACTGAAAGTGAGAATGGATAACGCTTTTCGAATCGGAATTAGAGTCTAGGGATTTCAAAACACGTTCAAAGAAATCTTTATGTTTCAAACAGATCATTTTACACACTACATTTCTAGTGAGAGGAAAAAGTGTTTTCATTAAATAACGAATAAGTGTAGGTAGGTGGGTTTAAAGTGAGTGGGTCTATTCGACCCTCCACCGCAACCCATAAGGGTTTATTGTGGCTCACACCTATTCACACTCGGCCAAATAAACCCAACTTCTTTACGAAGCCGATTAATTTGTATGGTGAGTGGTCTTTCAGGTCAGATGGTGAGAATACGGATCTGCCGAACTCAAATAACCTGATTCGGTCCCCAGCGGGGCAGGCACAAAGTATATGCTCTGCAGTTCCATCATTTTTCAGACAGAGGCGACACACACTGTCTTCCGACAGTCCAAGTCTCTGCATGTGATGATTC